TAGTTTGTAAATTATTTAAAATTTAAAAAATCCACATAATCATTTTTTACATGATGGATTTTCCACCTAATATTGAAAATGTAAAATAGTCAATCACTTAGCAAAAAAAATTAGCTACATCAACATTTAATTGAAGGAAAGACGAAATTGAAAATTGAAGTTGAAGGATGTTTTTGGTACTTTTTCAAGTTTAAGGATGAATTGGTTCAAAAATAAAAGTTGAGGGACCAATTCAAATATTTAACCTAAAAAAATATGTTAGCCACGTAAGCATCACTATTTAATTAATCCTTAAATAGAAACAGTTGAAAGTTGACATCCTTAAATAGAAAATGTTAAAAGTTGACATTTTTATTTAGAAATTGATAAAGTTAATATCCTTATTTAGAAAAAAATTAAAAGTTAACATCCTTATTTTAAAAAAAATTAAAAGTTAATATCCTTATTTAGAAACTAATAAAGTTAACGTTCTTAAGTAAAAAAAAGTGCAAAATTAGAATCCTTATTTGCACCTTTACTCGAAAGTAAAATGTTCAATTTGGTCTTTAACGTTAAACAATATGTTTAGATTACCTATTTTAATAGAGAGAGGACGAGATTGAACAAGTGGAAAACTAGTTTTACATCTCTTATTTTTTTTTTATTTTTTTAGAATCAAATATATAAAATATTTTATTTTAATTATTTTTTAATTAATAAATCTTCAAAATTTTATTTTATTTTTTAAAAATTTATTTAATTAAAAAAATATTATCTTTATCTCACCTCTGCTTTTGTTTATTCCAACAAAATTAATACCGAACCCTGCTTTCCCTTTACTTCTCTATTCTTCCCTCCTCATCTGCTCTTTTACTAACTTTTATACAAACGAAGAATCTGAACCCATCCCTGTGCTCATGGTTCCGTACATTAAGCCAGTCCTGCCATTCCATGCCCTCTGACCTCGGTAATTCCGTTGTATCTGATAAACCAGTGAGTGGCAGAAGGCAGGAGTTCCTTTGCAAACGATAGCAAGGAGCATCGCGAACATTGTCCAAGGTCCCAATTCCATCCAACCATGTTTTCCTCTAAACTCTCCCGAGTTCCATCTCTTCAGAACCTGCTCAAAACAGGCTTCGACCCTACTCTCAAATCCATTAACCAGTTTCTTCTCTTTCTCTTCCAGGCTCACAAATTCAATTCAATTGTCCACTTCTTCTTTCAATTAAACTCAAACCAAATCAGGGGCAACTCCCAAACTCACTCAATCATCGCTAAAGCTCTCCTCAAACTGCACAAATTTGAAGAAGCAGAGAATTTGATGAACATCCAGATGATAAAGTTTTTGAATTTTCCCAGGAGTAGGTTGTGGGATTCTCTAATTCAAGGATTTTGTGTCATCCAGAACCACCCAGAAAAGGCTCTCTTGCTGTTGAAGGATTGCTTAAAGAATCACGGTATATTGCCTTCTTCTTTTACTTTTAGTTCATTGATTCATAGTTTTAGTTCTCAAGGGAATATGAGTAGAGCAATTGAGGTGTTAGAGTTGATGACTGATGAGAAGATTAGGTACCCTTATGATAATTTTGTTTGTAGTTCAGTGGTTTCTGGTTTTTGCAAGATTGGGAAGCCAGAACTTGCAATTGGGTTTTTTGAGAATGCCATGACTTCAGGAACTTTAAGGCCTAATATTGCAACTTATACAGCACTTTTAAGTGCCCTTAGCATTTTGGGTAGATTCGACGAGGTTTATGATTTGGTTTCTGGGATAGATAAACAACGATTAGCATTTGATGTTGTTATGTATAGTAGTTGGATTTGTGGGTGTTATAAAGTTACAGATTTGTTGGAGGCATTTAGAAAGAATAGAGAGATGGTGGACAAAGGAATAAAGCCAGATGTGTTTAGTTACACTATTCTCATTGATAAGTTTTCCAAGGAAGGGAACGTTGAAAAGGCAACAGGCTTTTTGTGGAAGATGTTAAAAGATGGAGTGAAAGCAAATGTTGTTACATATACTGCAATAATGCATGGGTTCTGCAAGAAAGGAAAACTGGGGGAGGCATTCACTATTTTAAAGGAAGTTGAAGATATGGGGATTGAAGTGGATGAATTTATGTATGCAACCTTGATTGATGGAGTTTGTAGAAGAGGAGAATTAGACCATGCTTTTGATCTGCTGCATGAAATGGAGAAGAAGAGGATTAAGCCAAGCATAATTACCTATAATACTGTCATCAATGGATTGTGTAAGGTTGGGAGGACATTTGAGGCAGAAAAATTTTTGAAAGGGGTAGATGGGGATATTGTAACATACAGTACATTGTTGCATCACTACACTGAAGATGAAAATGTGCATGGGATTCAGGAGACAAAAAGGAGATTGGAAGAAGCTGGGGTTGCTATGGATGTTGCTGCATGTAATGTACTTATCAAAGCTCTATTTATGGTAGGTGCATTTGAAGATGCCCATGCACTTTACCAAGCAATGCCAGAAATGAATTTGATTGCAGATTCCATTACTTATTGTACAATGATAGATGGGTATTGTAGAGCAGAAAGAATTGAGGATGCACTTGAGTTATTTGACGAGTTTAGGAGTAAATCAATGAATTCAGTTGCATGCTACAATTGTATGATAAATGGGCTATGCAAAAAGGGAATGGTGGATATGGCCTTTGAGGTGTTTACTGAAGTTGAGCAGAAAGGCTTTGCTTTAGATGTAGGTATCTTGATGATGTTGATGAAGACAACTTTTGCACAAAGTGGTGCAAAGGGAGTTGTAAATCTTGTTTACAAGCTTGAAAATTTTAGGGCAGATGTGTATGGCGTTATATTGAATGATGCTATCTGTTTCTTGTGTAAGAGAGGTTCTCCTGAAGCTGCAATTGAAGTGTATGCAGTGATGAGGAGGAAACGATCAACAGTGACAAGCAAGTCTTACCATTCACTATTGGAAAACCTTATCAACAATGGGTGCCTAATTCGACCTTTCTTGAATATCTTTCTGAAGGAGTATGGTCTGGTAGAGCCTAGAGTAAGCAGAATTCTTGTATATTACTCATGTCTCAAGGATGTGAACAATTCCCAATGGTTCGTAAAGAAGTGGAAGGAGTCCTCAGCTGTCACTTACCCTCTTGCTGCTTTCAGAAGACTTGTAAAGGATGGTAGAGCTCTGGATGCACATAAACTTGTCATGGTAGCTGGAGATAGCCTCCCTCTGGAGGATGTGGTTGATTACACTATCCTGATTGACAGCCTTTGCAAGGCGGGATACCTCAGTCAGGCCTTAGATCTCTGTGTTTTTGCTAGAAGTAAGGGGATTACTCCTAATATTGTCACTTATAATTCAGTTATAAATGGGTTGTGCCGTCAAGGGTGTCTTGTTGAAGCATTTCGACTTTTTGATTCATTAGATAAAACTGATTTGGTTCCCTCTGAGATCACATATGCAACCCTGATTGACAATTTAAGTAAACAAGGTTTTCTACTAGATGCCAGACGGTTGTTTGATAGTATGGTTTCCAAGGGCTACAAGCCCAATACACATGTCTACAATTCATTGATTGACAATCTCTGCAAGTTTGGAAAAATGGATGAAGCCTTTAAGCTTCTGTATGATATGGAGATGAAAGGCTTTGAACCTAATGGCTTCACTGTTAGTGCTTTAATCAATGGATACTGCCAGAAGGGTGACATGGAAGGGGCTCTTGATTTCTTTTCTGAGTTCAAAAAGAAAGATATAGTACCTGATTTCTTGGGTTTTGTTTATATGGTACGAGGCCTTCATACCAAGGGAAGGATTGAAGAGGCAAGGAACATCTTAGAAGAAATGCTTCAGTCAAAGTCTCTTGTGGAGCTGATAAATACAGTTGACAAAGAGGTTGAATCTGAGTCTGTAGAAAGTTTTCTTATATTCTTATGTGAGCAAGGAAGGATCTCCGATGCTGTGGTAGTCCTTAACAAAATTGCATCCATACTTTATCCTTTTCGAAGGTGGTCTGGTGCTTACGAGGGATCTCAATTAACAAACAAGCATTCTGAGTGCAGAAACCTTTCTTCTGCTGTTTCAGAACCTTTAACATCCAATCAAAATTCTGAAATAACTGATAGCAAGAAAGTTGATAAGTTGGCAGAGAATTATGACATTGCTGGAAAAAGATCTAAATTGCGTGACTTTGGATTTTACTACTCCTTGATTGGTTCACTCTGTTCAAAAGGGGAGCTGCAGAAGGCGAATGAATTAGTAAATGAATTGCTTTCAAGCTTGTAGGGACATCTTCAGTCAGATTATAGAGCTCTTTGCTGGCATGACCGAATCTATGGGTTCCTTGGCCTTCATCATGAGGGAGTAAGAATGAACTGTCTATGGTGGGTACCTTTCTTTACTTTCAGCATTTTCTGATTAAATATTCCTCCTGAATTCTGTTTAGAACCAAATTTCTCAAGTTTCAGGCCAGAAAACAAAAACAAAAAACCATCTTTCCCAACAAGACCCTTTCCAAACCAAATCCAATCTGTTAATTAAGTTTCATTTTGTTCAAGACGAGGTTACTGAGTGCTCTCTCTTAATTTTCTCAAGTTTACCTGTTGATCTGTTAGCTGACTTGCTTATGAAACCCCTTTCTTGCTATTGATTATCCGGGATAGGAGTCTTTAATGAACATCTTGCAGGAGGCATGTTACAGAGCAACTACTAAGATTAAGCCTGAAAATAATTTGTCATTTCTTGAACTTAATTTTTTTGGGGGAATTCCTGAACTTAATTGTTAGTGGTCTCGAAAATTTCATCCTGCAACTTCCTGGAGATAGCTCCTTTGTTAATTGTTGAGGTTGAACTAGAAGAATTCAGCTGTGTTATAGCTTGTTTGGCAACTGGATGTGTCTGTTGAGAGCAATTTAAAGCTTTGAATTGATATTTATTGGGCTTTCTCTTGGTTTTTCTTCATCTTTTGGTTTCCTTTGGTTTCCTATATTGGGTATAGACATTATTGCTTGGATCACTTAAAATGGTTTTTGGAGTTTCTTTGCATTTTCACCTCTTTTAGCTTTGTTCATTTGAACTGGCAACTCGCAGGGCAAGAGATGCTTCGTTTACCAATTAGATCAGAGAAATGGAAGTTGAGTGCATTAGTTCACGAAGGATGGCTGCCGCTTTGTTTTGTTTTCCGCTGTTTGTGCAATTACGAAGAATCTTTGCCTCTGGGTTTGAAGTGCAGTCAACCATCTGCTGTATACTCATTTGGCATTTTACTAATAGAAATTCTGACAGGCTGCCATCCTGTGGAGTTAAAGAGACCTGTGGATTACAATTAGATGGGTAAGGTTTGTTGCCTTTTTCTGTATAGCAATCAGAAATCCGGTGATCATATTCATTAACTAGTTGGGTGGGAAATTAAATGATTTCTCACAAGGCAGGTAGTATAGGTTGCATGATTCTAGTTATGTATAGGAGTCAGTCTTTTTCTCATGAAAAATAAACTGCCTATTTACTCAAAAGAATCCAAAACTCATAGTTTCCCTTTTGATTTCTTTAGGTCTTCAATAAATGTGACAAAGGCAGGCTGATGGAGGTGGTGGATCCTTTGATGGAAGAAGTTGTAAACGTTGAAACACTTTGGGAAATATTTGACTTGGCATTTCAGTGTGCCGGACCCATGCGAAATGATCGACCAGACATGAAGTTGGTGGCGGAGGAATTATGGGCAATAAGGACTGATTATCTCAAGTCCAACGAGAGGGGAGCAGAAAACAAACTACAGCTAAGAGAAGTCTCATCTCCACTCTACCCAATTTCTTGCTTCTCTCTTTCCTTTTCGCACCCTTCCATGTTTTGTGGGTACAAATCGGTGCAAATAGGGTTAAAGCCAAATGTCGTTCCTCTACTATTGAAAAAAGCTCAATTTAAACCTTATACTATGAATTTACCTCATGCACTCCCTCTATTTTAATTTAGGTTCTCATGTCATCCCTCTACTATTCAAAAAGGGCTCAATTTTGTCCCTCTGTCCATTTTAAGGATAACAGCATCTTTTTCCTCGTTAAAATGAATACGGTCAGTCATTTGCCACCTTTTCTAATTATTATTTTTGTCCATTCTTGTATTGTGCGGCCCACTTGTTCCACGTCGGTTCTCTTAGCTTCTCTCTGCGCAGAACCGTGTGGGTGGGAATTCTTCTTTTTATTATTTTGCCCAAAGTTGGCAATCTCATACTACATACATGCTGGTTTTGATATTAATACGGTACATGTATTTATACATATCGTGTGTTATTTTAAATTTATCATTATAAATAAATTTTTTATATAAATTAATTATAAATATATATAATCATATCAATAAACATTTTTTATTACATCATAAATTGTAAAAATTTAAGATCATGTTATGTGTTAGATTTTTAGATAGATGGAGGAAATTTAAGATCACTTTATGTGTTAGATTTTTAGATAGATGGAGGAGATTTCGTCAAATACCACTTTGAAGGGAAGAAGGTAAAAAGATAAGATTTTATCTTTAAATTACTTTTTAAAGTTAAATTAGATCTGTTTTAATTGGAATTTAAGAGGAGGTTTTAGTTATGAGTATAAGTTATTAAATAAAGAGAATAGATGACAAAATTTGGAAGGAAGTTTGACCCTATTAAGTGTTGAGGTGTCTTATTACATCAAGAAACTGTTTATGACTTTTGAAACTGCAAAAAAGTGGAGAGTTACAATAAAAAAAAAAAAAAGAACAAAAAGGAAATTTTGGAAGAGAGAATACACGGCTAGCCCTATTAAAAAATCTACAAATTTTCATACTTTGGTTTTCTTTGAAATTGCTTATAGATTTCAAATTTCAGCATAATTTTTTGTAGATCTAGATTGTTTTTCATTATTCCAGTAGTCAAATTAGTTTATGTATTCACTTCAACAAATTCATTTCATATAATGAACTTCAAGCTTTCGAATTTTTTTAAGATATTGGTCTTTTTCTGTCTGCAATTAGTTTAATATTTATGATAAGTAACGTTTTTTCAAATGATTACTTATATGACGTTTATGTTTTTTCTTAACTTCAAGCATGTTAGTTTAATTCCTATTCAAGTTTGTTTTACTGTTAATTAGGGTAAAATCTCTAGTTCTACAGTAGTTTAATTTTTCAGATTTGTTAGCAAATAGTATTTTAATTTGACAATGAAAATGTTTGACTTAATTTGGGTACATCTTGTTCTCATAAATTTATTTTAAATTGCATGCTATTTAATTTAATTAGGATTTGTTAATTTTGATTTATGATAGTGTTTAAGTCTTTGGAGTTGTCCAAGGTAAATTTTGTAACTCATTCTGCAGGAAGGCATTCCTTTCTCTTATAGATCGTCTATAGGTGCAGATTTTAATTTTAAATCGACGTTCTTCTAGGTATCTGCAAGGAGGTTAACCATGAAGAAGGGGAGGGTCGTTAGGAAAATCTTCTTTTTTTATTTTCAGCAAAATAAATGATACATTTATGTCTAGATTTTGCACATGCGAAGTCACTAAAAGATTTTTGGAGAAACAATTCTAATACCTAAAACAATCTAAATTTATAAGGTTAGCGTAGCACATATTATTTTAGATAATTTGTTTAAAATTTTATTTTTTAATTAATGTTTTAAAAAA